CACTTTTTTTCTACCGTTAAGTACATATCGGTTCTCGATGATTGTTTAGTGTTTTAATAAGTCAATTGTTTTTACTCCATTTCTAAAATCACTGTCAGCTTGATCGATCCTATTTTTTCTGGATAGCTCAAATAAATCGTCTAGTTATGACATGATTCTCCCATTTGAACTTAAATAGACAGAACATGGATGTTGTCAGCTATGGAAGAATAATCACAAAGTATCTTGATTCATTATATGATAAATAGTTAGCAACCAGATCGTATTTCAGATCCGTGGACATTAATATACACATTAAAAAGATGAATATACTTAGATACTACTACTACTACTACTACAATAATAATAATAATAATAAAGTAGTTGTGTACAGTGATAATTTTGTCAGAATAAAACTGCGAATAAAGGTTAATGTTGACATTTTTTCCACAACAGTTGTTAATTCATTATTATTTGTAGAAGGAATGTTCACAAGAAGATGAATGTTTCAATGGAATTAAATTCCTGAAATTTTTTCGGTAAAAAGTTGCATAATCATAGCATTGGTATTAGGAAAACATAATTAGTTCACTTAACTTCACTACACTTCAATATGTTTACAGTATAAGAGTTTGTAGTTTAGAAAACAATAATTATGCATAGTAAAAGTATTCTATTGATAATAATCAAAGAAATATTGGAATCTTAAATTAATAAAACCTTATTTAATGGGTAATAATGGGCATTTACATATTTCCTTGTTTGTTCAATAACAATAACAACATATTTTGCGTATAAATAAATCACTAGGTAGTGATCAATGTTGCGTATATCTAGTTCTTTAATAGTGATCAAATTCTATTGAACAAGTACCTAGACACTGAGAAATAGTAACTTTTCAAACTATGAAGATGGGAGACAAGGATTCGACTCCAACACGAAGTAAAAACTCCCACATAGATGGAGGTATATCTGACTTATGAATATTAAGTAATATGATGCCTAAATTAAGGGTTTCCTACTGAATATCTCAAACCACATTATAGAAATTAATTATTTTCATTATGAACTCAGGTCAGTTAGTGGACTACTAAAAAAATATTAAATAGCTGTCTACTTTGATTCGCCCCATATCAACCAAACATAATCATGAACCTTAAGAGTTGTGTCTCCTATTGATGACTAATCTGAAATAAATCTTCTGAGAACCAATAAAGACTGTGCTGGTTGAAGAGATTACAATTACACTATTTAAAAACAGTATAGTTCTTTATTTTTTAAGGATATCATGGCAAGTATATAATTATTGTATGTATTAACTGCCAATATTATAGCTTTCATTTTATTAGAAGATAATCATATATGTCTCCTACATTCATCCATACTATTTAAATTTGTGTCCAGTTAATTTGGTTATTTTTTTACTCTTTGAAGATTCAACTTCAGCTAAGCAGTAAAACCTCAGAAAGTCAAATTTCTAATGATTAGAATATCACGAATATAATTTGGTTGGCTTTTTTAGCAAGATTTTTTCTGTGGGATAGGGTTGCCGACCTCATGCCCAATCCTCCTCCTTTACCCGGGCTTTGGGCCGGCAGTAACTATAGAAGAGCTACAGGCGAAGTCAACCAATATCAAAGTGAGAATCTTCAATACATTAAAACAATCCTACTGTATGGTGTTGAAACGTGGAGAACTAATACAACCATCATCAAAACACTACAAGTATTCATAAATAGTTGTCTACGCAAGATACTCAACATTCATTGGCTGGATACCATTAGCAAGAGCCTACTGTGAGAAAGGACAAACAAGCTTCCAACTGAAGATGAAATTAGGAAAAAACGTTGGACGTGGATAGAACATACATTACTAAAATCGCCAAACTGCATCACGAGGCAAACCCTAGCTTGAAATCCTGAAGGGAAGTGGTAAAGAGGAAGGTCAAAGAACACACTGCGTCAGGAATTGGAAGCAGACATGAAAAGTATGAATAGAAATTGGAAAGGATTGCCTAGGACTAGGTTGGATGACGAGTGCTGGTTGGTGGCCTTTGCTCCTCTACGAGGAGTAACAGGAGTAAGTAATCACCAAAAAATTATTGTTTTTTTTTTAAAAATGACAATACATTCATTTTATGTATTCTTCGTTTTTGAGGAAACGAATACATATTATGCGATGTATAACTCTGTCTACTGAGAATTTTGTGTAATGTACTTTTTATCAATGTGTTTAACACTAATTAGATATGATCAAAGAAAAAAAAACTTTAATCAATGTTAGGTGGTAATAAAATTTATTTCATGAAACTTTCAATGATTCATAAGTGAACAATTTCTTTATTCATCAATACCTATTTGTATACATTATTCTTATTAGTTTGTTATGAAGTTTTGAAACTGTAGAAACAATCTATATCGAATGTTCTATTACTTAAAAAGAATATTTTTAAACTTACACACATTCGATTCTTTATGATCAATTTGTGCAAAATAAGAATTCATAATTGGTACCATTCAAATGTGTCAGGAATCATTAGTGATATTGGATGATAGTTAAACTATATTATAAATTACTTAACATTAAAATAACACTACTGGAGACTGATCCAGTAGTGTTAATGATTTTGTTCATCATGAAAATTGAGAGTGCTGGATTCGACTTCTGAATGAGTCGTGGTTGCTTGCTACCAATGATTTCTATAATGAAACCTAACAAATGTCTAGTACTTCCTGATTTTCAGTAGTATTTCAATTGATATCACTAGGTGGTGAACACAAACTCTAAATTAAATCAATCTCCACAAAATCCTAATAATTGAGTTCATAAGTCAATTAAAGCTAGACCACCATGTAAACTTGGAAGTACTGAACTGTTGTTTCGTCCTAGTAGGGGACTCCTTAATAGTGCTCATCTGCGATCACGCTCAAGGGATTCAAACCCAGCATCTTCAGTCTTACAGGCGAGCGTTCATCATTCTGTTTCAAGATATCTAATAAGTTTATGTGAATATTAAAATGAGAAGAAAAACGTTTCAAAATTGCAACAGAATTCATTCCGATATTATTAAATAAATAAATGATCTCAAGTTTCTTTGTTTGACTAAATAGTTCATCATAATTTTAGGTTACTTTACTTTTAATAACATGATAAACTTTGAAATAAGTAGTGAGTGTATATTATATAACTAAAATATACGTTGCTTTAGTACTTTATTTTAACTTGATATTTTAAACAAACATGTATCCATGTAGAAACGTGTATCATTAGAAAATGTAACTATGGATTTTAGAATAAGTTGAAGTCATTTAATTATTAATTAATGAATTAGAATAAATGACACTGTTTCGTGTAAAACGTCATAGCAACGATCCTACAAACATTTTCGACTATGGTTAATTTTGGTTAAGCCCTTTTATTAACTTACTTATTTGAACAGTAACAATTCGCATATTTCTGTGTACTGTTATGATCATTAGAGCACATGACACACTCGAGCTAAAATGTTGATCACTTATATATCAATCAATGATTTATCCTCCTCCTCATGTGTATATGTACTCAAATCCTATTATAAACTTTTGCATTACCTTGATGCGTCCTCATACAATTTGACTATAAATTTACCTGTGTATTTACTCGCACACACATATTCTCCTCTCTGCTTCAGATTCGCTTGACGTGCTTATAGCTTTGTGGTTTACGCTATCCTCTAATAAACTGTAGTTACCGTCTCTCATTGTTCTCTGATTTCAAACACTGTTAAGATTTCTATTATAACGGTTATCAAGATGATCACTTAACAAAACAAACCCACTACAATTTAACTTTAATAAACTTATCTCAATTAATCATTTTCAATTCTAGAAATAAATCTACTAGATAATTGAACATTAAAACAATATAATTATTGTTAATAGTAAACACTTCATTATCAATTAATGTAAGTGAGAGAGAGAGAGTATAAGTGAACACATGAACGTTTACTCATTAATTGAATCCTATGAAAATGTGAGAATAAAGTTGAAATCATTAAGAGAACAACTGAAACAAGGAAAATATATAATTATAAACAATTAATTTTCTATAATATAAAACTAAGACTGAAACATTAATACAACAAATTGTTACGTCTTGTCGATGAAACGCTATTTACCATTCCTAAGCTATTTCGGTAACCCGCAGTCTAGAACTACACAGCGACTTGAACTCCAGAGAGAAGACACAATTATGAGAGAAAATATTTATCCCAAGGTTCATTTTCGTACAGAAAATCAAGGGTATTTATAGATGTTGGCGTCTGTTAAATCAACATCATATTTTCAGCCAGTCCGTTAACGTTATATTATGCTACCGACCAATAATAGCACGCCACGCTGGAATTCTCGAACGTTCCATCGTACTCTGATTGGCTAGGATCCTTCGGCTCCTTTTGGGCCTCTGGAGGCTCCGTTGAAGTTCTCCGGAAGCCGACTCAACACCAATGTTATAGAATAGTGAGTCAATTGAAGCTAGACTACCATGTTGCGGGATCGTGGATGCACACTACTTAGGAGTCCCATACTAGGACAGTCGTCCACTGCTTCCAAGTTTTCCATCGTGGTCTAACTTCAATCGACTCATGATTTCAATCAGTGAAATTTTTAAAAATCTCCACAAAACCCCTACTGATCATAGAATAGTGACGAACGAGACTTTTAAAAAAAAGAAGTTTCGACAATTTGATGAACATAGTTTTCAAAATTATGTAAATCTATAGAATATTTTAAAGTATCACTAATACACAACTTATGTAATACAAATTAATATACATAATAGAAGACAAATAAAGTAAATATGGCAACAATTTGATTAACCAATAATATCATAATGGATAGATAGATAGATATGCACACTCAATAAAACAAACTAAAAATAATTTCAATATTCTAATGATCACTGCCATATTTAATAAATTTACCATGTAAGAGAGAGTGCATCAATAATAAACTAACCCTACTAATAATTTATACATTTCTGATTGGTTGATAGATCTGATACGTGTGACCTTGAAAGGAAAAACAACCAATAGAAATCAGCACAACAAATAAACCAATTATCTTAAGAATAGAGAATTTTTATAAAAAAATCACTATCATATAAAAAGAAACAAATTGTTGAAAAGATTTAATAAATGCAAATGTTATTAGTATAAAACTTAAATTTATCATCATGCAACGTCCACCGCCAATTCCTATATTAAATCGTCATTCAATGGAATATAGATCAGGAGGAAATTTATTAAATTCTATTACACCATGTAAAGAATATTATACACATGATTCATATGGAAAATCTAAATACTGTATTGAAGTTGATTTACAAGGTTATCCAGCAGAAAGTATACGAATTACAAGACAATTACAAGATGTTACAATAAGTTTAAATCATGAAGAGATTAAACCAACTGGTGAAAAATATAAACAAGAATTTAGACGTGAAATTCAATTACCACAATCTGTTGATTTAAATACATTAAAAAGTACTATTTTAAATAAAAATACATTATTATTATATGCTGATGTAAATAAACGTGAACAACCAATTTTAAAAAGTTCACAAATGAGTCCTAATTTAAAACGTCATATTAATTGGGGATTATCATGTTCACCACCATTACGTAATTCAATATTAGATTCACCTAAATTACGTACATCATTTTCTAGTGAAATACGACATCGTAATTCATCATTTACAAATTTACCAAATGATTTTAATAAATCATTTCATATTAAAAAACAAAATTTATCAAATTATCAAAATATACAACGACTATCAAATCATCATCAGTATAGAAGTAATTCTTTTACAAAATCGGAACCAATTAATATACCTGTACGTGTTGAAACAAATCAAAATCATAATCAATTCACTCCTATGAATAATGTACAAAATATTCGTGTAGAAATAACAAAAAATCAACCAATTCATTTGAAACAATCTTCTAAACAATCAACTTTAAATCATAATCAATCTCAATCACAAGTTCCACAGAATAATCATACTACTACTACTACCACTCATAGTAATAGTAATAATTATTATTATCAAAATGAACATAAATTGCTGAATAATAATAGTACATTAAAATCTCAACGTCCATTACATATACTACCAGTTACAAATAATATCGATGAAAATGATCCTATAAACAATATATCAATACAAAATAATTATAATAATGCCATGAATCGTTTAATTAATCATACAACAGCAACAACAACAACAACAACAACGAATACTACTAACAATAATATAAATAGTACTAATCATTTAACTAAACCTATGAAATTTTATACACAAAGTATGAAAGTTGGCTTAGATGTAAAACCGGAAGATTTAAATATTCATTTAAAAAATGGTTTATTAACAATTATGATTAAACAAAAAGGTAATAATATTGAAAATAATCAACAAACTAAAATTGCCCGTGAATTTCTACATGAAAATACTATACCAATTAATGTTGATCAAAATAAATTAACAGCAAAATTAGATAGAGGTATATTAATTTGGGAAGCACCATATATGACAACATCATCAACTATAACAACATTAACAAATGATTTAATTGATATTCCAGGATAAATGATGCTAAATATACTACTAATAATACCACTACTACCACTACTACTACTAATAATAATAATAATAATACTATGTAAAAAATGAACATATTTAATGAAAACAGAGATTAATAGAAGATAATGAATAGATTTACTTAAGTTTATTCTTTCCTTTTTTTATGTATTTTACGCCTTTCTTTGTTTTCTTTTGTTTTCCTGAAAGATTCATTTATTTTATGTGAAAAAGAAAACACTATTGATATTAAGATGAACATAAAATCGATCAGATTGTATATTCATTAAAGTGAATTTTTCTATTTATTAATGAACCAAAAAAGAAAAGAAAAAAGAGATTAGAATCATTGTTTATTCATTTATTTATTTGTTTTATTCTTGTCAAATATTTTAGTCTCATTCAGATATGTTTATAATATAAATTAATAATAATCATAATAATGGGCATGTATTAATCCATTTTTATCAATTTATATATATATAAGTATCATTACCAAGGCTTGACTTGATAATTTCTAATAAATTAAGCATTGGGTTGATTGTTATCAATAAAAATAATATCCTAATGAATAGAAAAATTGAGACTTTCCGACGTTTCGTAACTTGATATAAGCCACTTCTTCAGAGAATAAATAAACTAATCATAATTAATCCAAGTTTATTTATTTATTATTTATTTATTTATTATATAAATGATTATTATTAAAATATACATGTCGCCAATACTCTTATATATATAATCATCAACTTAACTCATCTTAGTAAATAACTGAATTAATTAAGTTAAATACAAGAATAGGTATGTTTCATTATATAGTCGTTGATCAGTAAATGAAGTAAAACAAAATGATGCGTATATGGTAAAGACAAGTGTGTCAAGTCAATTTAATCAAGTATAGATCTACATTTATAATCAGACCAAAGAATAAATTACAGACATGTGATGAATAAGATAAGTACACATACATATGCTCATATTAAAAAAAAAAAACAACAACACACAATGAAGATTAATAAGCAAATAATTAATAAGATTAAAATATATCTTGAAAAGTATAGAGAAATTAATTTATCCAGAAACTAGTATAAGTTATCTAGGCTCGACATAGCAACTGAAACTATCATATCATTCTTATTCATTATTGTTCTACATTGTTAAATTTTTTTTAATGATTCGTTAATCGATAAATTAAAAAAAATGATAATAATAATTATATCCACTTTTATACTTTCTTGCTATGACTAGTTTAAAATGGTTTAAATCAATAGATTTAAGTGAATTTATCAAAATTAATTTGTTTAGTTTCGATGCATATATATATATGCAGAGAGAGAGAGAGAGGGAGAGGGGGACACAGAGACAAAGAGTATATATATATATATATATATATATATATATATATATATATATATGGCACAACGATGAAAATGTGCTTTAATACAATAACGTGAATTTATTTTCATGATGTTAAAGTGAATAAATTAAGTTATGAATATTATTATGGTAACCATGAAAATGATATTTTAGGAGTATGATTATTATTTTTTCTCAAACAGAAAAAAATATTTCAATAGTTGAGATCATGAGTCGATTGAAGCTAGACCACCATGGAAAACCTAGAAACACTGGATGGCTGTTTCGTTGTATTGTAGGACTCCTCACCAGTGCGTATCCACGATTCAGAATCCATGAAATTGCGCCACCGTCCATCAATGTCATCACTGAGTTACTGTCTCATAACAGACCCAATTGAACTCCAGTGGTCACTTCTGTCATATATGTAATACATAGTGACAATTCAATTATTTAAAGGAAATACTCTTATAGTATTATTAGAAATTTTTTTTAGATAGAATCAACTTAGATGGTTTTTTTGGACTTTCAAGATTGTTTAGTAATAATAATTGACTTGAGAATTTAGTTATTTTGTGAAATGTGATTTATCAACTTTAAAGCTTTAAAATAGATATCTAGAGTTAAAATTACAGTTGATTTATTACCAGTGTTATGTTTGTTTAGATCTCTTAATGTCGATTGAATTTTAATGATCAAGTTTTATTATGGTGATTAACTTAAATGAATGGAAGTTTATTGAAATCTTAGATGGTTATAGGTAGTCAATAGGATGCTTTATGTTTCGTACTATTTTAAATTTGTTTGAAAATTGTACTTTCAATTTTGCTGAATCTAATGCTTCTCTTTCTAATAGTGTTGAATTGTTGTTGTTGTTGTTGGAAGGCTGTGCGTTATATCGTAGAATCATATTTATCGGTTTGTTTGAATGGAAATCTAAAACTTTTCAATCAAACATTCATTCAAGTGAAATATTGATTGTTAAATTACTTATGTGATTAAACAGTTGCAAGTATAAAAGTTCCCTACCAGTCAACAAAAATACATAAAAATATGATATCTGGTATTGTTATGAATCATTTGTAAACAACTTGAAATTTGTATAAATATTTTATGTTATTGAATACACTGAAGTGTTAAGATAATCAGGTCAAAACAATAACAGTTCACGCAATGATCAACTATTTATCTTAGTTGTCTTAATATATAATATCATCATTTCTAGTCATTTTTTAACGTCAACCAAAGAGAATTTCGAATATTCAAATATTTTATTGAGATCATGTACCGATCTAATTTAGAATACCATTAAAAACCTGGACGCTTCGAGAGGAGATTTCCAGAGTTCTAGTGAGAAGTTGTGACGAGTGGAGCTAATCTGTGTCGGATGTGAGAAAGGTAACCACCGAACACAGTGACAGATGGTCGTGCGCTATCATAAACTTATTAAAGTTGGACACTAACACCATTGGATATCAACTCATTGATCTGGAGGTCAAGTGTCCCCATGAGAGACCGAAGGACCTGAATTCTATTCTCTTGTGCAGTATCGTGGATGCGCACTGGTTGGGAGTCACATACCAGGAGGATACGGGCATCCAGTGCTTCAATGTTTCCAATGGTGTTCTAACCTAGGCCGGTTCATGATTTCAGTAAAATTCAACAATCTCCACAGCCCCATACTGAAAATTAAAATATCCTTGTGAGCTTTTATTGTTAGTGACGTTATTACCATAGGGGTTATGCAGTGGCTGTTGAGATTTTTCTAGCTTCCACCACGGACTGATCACTTCTGATCTTCACTGGGGTTTTGGAGTTTTACTGCCGAAGAGTACAGGAACGAAGCAGCTATCCAGTACTTCATGATTTTCAGTGGTTATTTAACTAAATGAGTTACTAATGTAAGCCATGAAATTCAATAAAATTCAAAAAGTATTATGTAAACTTCACTAGAATTCGACTAATAACTATCTTAATTTCTTGTCCTTCCTACTCTCACAATATTCTCTTGGTTTACAAATTCATTTACATCTCTCTTTTTCATACTGCTTATTATTTCTTATCTTCAAGCCTTACCAAACTTTACAAAATTACTGAAGTTAGTAACAATTCCGTACTCTTTCAGTGATTAGCTATTAGAGACTGTTTTCTTAACAGTGTTGTTGGGAGCCTTGATTTGTTCAATCAACCCAAGTAAAAAATACGACAATTAGCTATATATGTTACAGGATGTTTATGACAACATTATTAGAGTAAGTCCGATGAATTTAAAACGATAGACAACTGAACTCTGACTTGTTGGATATATAAGGATATTGCGTGTTCACTGTAAATAACTGATTGTTCAACACAGCATTTAGTAGGAATACTGATGAATAGTTTTAAGCTAGAACAAAGCAGATGTTCAGTATTCAATATTTTAAGGTTCTCAATGGTCCTTCAGCGATTCTATTTATTGATAAATATTATTTTCAAACTATATAAATCGTTAAATAAAACACTTGACCAAATAATTGGTTACTTACAATCGTCCAGTGTTAAAAGGATTTATAGCTACTAAATGTTGTGTTATTAATCTATATAACACAACAATGTTGAAAAATTTCTACTTTTCTTATCTTACAGTAAATTATGTCGAGCATTGATTTTCAGCTGGAATTAGGTCACTTAAAAAGTTTGTCTTGAGTTGTGTATGTATGAAGTATGCCTTAGCCAACGTCTTAATTTCGTTTGAAAATGAGTCATCCAATTCAAATAGATTTTTGCAACAACTGATGTATGCAGAAAAATCAAATTTCTGGATTTCCTGATGTTTCGTGACTGAATGTAAGCTACTTCTTCAGAGAATAAATAGACAAATTGAATTAATTCAAGTTTAAATAGTACAAGGAAACAAAGCAAAAATGTTTGGTGCGATCAATAAAAAACGGGTCTAACTGAGTCAATGTCATGTCATTTCGGTTAAGGTGATTTATGTGAAACATGTCTGTGTATTTGTATATATATATATATATATATATATATATATATATATATATATATATATATATATATATATGTCCACTTGTTAAATATATTACTTACGTGTGGGCGAGAATGACTCCGCCTGTAGCTCTTCCAGAGTTACTGCCGGTCCAAAGTCTGGGTAAAGGAGGAAGGTTTGGCATGAGGTTAGCAACCTCATCACGTAGAAAACTAACTCGCTAAGAAACGCTAACCAGAAAAAATAATCCAAGCCATTTCAACTCTGCCCTGGGAGTTAGGTCTTCAGTTAGAAGAACTATAACGCCTCATGGTGAAAGCTGAGTTCCTTCGGAAGCCACGAGGCCGATGCCCCTTTTAACAACCAGAAAATTTTTTTATAGGTACATGGAACGTCCGAACAATGTGGGAAACCGGGAAGACCAGTCAAATATCAATGGAAATGAGGAGATACAACTTAGCAGTACTGGGAATCAGCGAAACCCACTGGACCCAAGCTGGACAGAAAAGGCTGGCTACGGGAGAGATGTTGCTATACTCCGGTCACGAAGAGGACAATGCTCCACACACTCAGGGAGTCGCTCTTATGCTGTCCAAAGTAGCACGAAATGCACTTGTAGGATGGGAATCTCACGGATACAGAATCATCGAAGCATAATTCAAGACAAAGAAGGAGGCGATCACAATCAATATTATCAAATGTTATGCACTCACCAATGATAGCAATTCTACGAGCGGCTGCGATCAATCGTAGAGAAGTGCCCAAGAAAGGACCTCACCATTCTGATGGGAGATCTAAACACCAAAGTCGGAATAGACAATACCGGATGTGAAGATATCATGGGATGACAAAGGCTGGGTGGGAGGAACGAAAATGGGGAAAGACTTGCAAATCTGTGTGCATTCAACAAATTGGTTATAGGAGGTACAATATTTTTACACATACGTATACACAAGGCTACATGGATCTCACTGGACCACACTACAGAGAGCCAGATAGATCATATTTGCATCAACGAAATATTCCGAAGGACAATGGAAGATGTGAGAACCAAGAGAGGAACTGACATAGCTTCAGATCACCACCTAGTTGTGGCCAATTTAAAACTGAAGCTGAAAAAGAACTGGACAGGTGGACAAACAGCACTACAAAGGCTCAATACAGCCTTCCTTCGAGATACTGACAAACTCAATGAATTCAAGATAGCTCTCAACAACAGGTTCCAAACCTTACAGGATCTACTGAAGGAAGAAGAAACTACTATGGAGGACAACTGGAAAAGTATCAAAGAAGCATTAACTTCAACGTGTCAAGAGGTTCTGGGCCTCAAGAAGCATCATCATAAGGAATGGATCTCTATAAAAACACTGGACAAGATCAAAGAAAGGAAGAACAACAAAAAGCAGCAATAAACAACAGCCGAACACGAACAGAGAAATTCCAAGCACAAGCTGAATACATAGAAGCAAACAAGCAAGTGGAGAGGAGCATTAGAGCCGACAAGAAGAAATACGTGGAAGAACTAGCAACGACGGCAGAAAAAGCTGCTAGAGAAGGAAATATGAAACAGCTTTACGATACAACGAAGAAACTAGCAGGGAAATACAGTAAACCAGAGAGGCCGGTCGAGGAGAAAGAAGGCAGGCCA